ACATTGTGTGAAGGATTGATTAGTGAAACATACCTTAGATGGGGCTTACCTATAGGTACTACAGAGTAATGGAAAACTTGTCTTCTAATAGATATTTAGCCATTTTACCACCACCAGGAGGTATGGCTTCCTATGTTCTTCAGAGTCCAAATCAAAATGCTTCACTTTCAAGGTCTCTTTTGGCCTGTGAACAGCATTTAAGAGAGACCACCTGTACTGGTGTCAACTCCCAATCATGTCAACATAGCCTAATAGGGATTCCCTGTATTTATACTGATAATATGTGAGGTGACAGAGGTTTTTCTGAAAACTCATGCTCTCAATAGGTTAGCATGAATTCCTCTTTTAAGGTATTCTGTAGATGTTGCTAAAACAAATTATTTGAAGTGCTTGTGAAGGCTTATCTGATGAGGGGCTGTCCTTAATTATTTCTTATCTGCTAAATGTTTTGTTGCTTAATTAAAAGTTCATATTTTATAATTGGAGGGGTTATATTGTTTCAGTTAATTTTGAAGTAAACCATCTCAAGCTTAGGAAAGATCACAAAGTTAACAAAAACCTGTTTCCTTGAATGAAATGCCTTAGGTTCTCTTGGGTGGTTTTTGCTTGTGTAAATAAATACTGTAAAAGGAAGTAAATAAATAATGGAACATGTACTAATGAATATAAGAAAGAAAAAGTATAGCACTGGAGAGTGGTGTTACTTTGTCATATTTAACTCATCCACCTCCATAATACTTTCTTTCGTTTCATGACACAGGGAATGACTTGTATTATTTGAGTTTCAAACAATGATTAAATAATTGTAGTTTTAGAAGAGGTAGCTGTGTTAGCTTGTGCAAGCATATCAGGCAAAACTCAAAGGAAATAATAACAGAACCTAAACAAAAACCTTGTAGCGCGTAAAAGATTGTTATATTTTTATGTGAGCTTTCATGGAGCTTTTATGGACAAGTCCATGGACAAGTCCATGGATGCTCAGATTAAAATATAACAATCTTTAA